AGTTCGGGTAAATACTTGTAAAGTTCGGGCGAAAAAACTCGGCATATTCTGGTAAAAACTTGGCATTTGAGGTTGTGCTGTGGCATGGAAACACATTCTTCGGGGAATAGCTAGCCAAGGTCGGGCCTCAACTTTGTGTACAAGCACTAATTCGGGCGGTAGTTTTTCGCTAATCCCATATGTTTTCAATTTCGTTTAATAACCTGCCATGGGAACACCCTTTTTCGGTTAGTAACCTACCTTGAAACTCCAATTTTGGGCGATAGCTTTCCCTTTACGTGCAATAACAAAGGGCATCTGGGAGCCAGAAAAGAGCTTACAATATATATATAGAAAACTATTTTTTAGCCCAAGTATTGAAATATATTATTTAAATACTTCTTAGATCAATTAATTTTTTCTTACAAATCTAAAAATATTAATAGTAAATATATTAAAATACAAATGGGTGTTAAAATGGATTTTTTTTATCGGTGTACATAAAAAAATTATATTTACACTAATTAAAAAATTATATCAACAATCTAGTTTAGAGCTTTTCTAAACGGCTTTTGCCATTCGAGATAGCATCTCCAAAGAAGCCAAATTAAAAATATGTAATAGGGTAGCTATATAAAATGACAAAAAAAAGAGAGCATATTAAATGTATTAAAAATACAACTAGTTTTTCTAAATAACTTTGTATCATTAAAATACATACATAAATAAAAAAACTATATTTATATTATTTAAGAAGTTATATTAACAATTTGAATCTACTAAATAGCATCTCAACTTTTAGATATTCGATCATTGGTTTCTGAAAAAGAAAATTCAGAAGATGATGATGTCCTTTAATTGAGGTGGGGTTGATCGTTTGTATTGAAAAACTAATGGGACAAGGCTTCAAGCTGTCCTTGAAAATGATTGGCTGTAACAAAGGGGTAAGAAATTTTAAATTATTTAAAAATATATTATTTTGATAAATAAAATGCACTTTAAAAAATAAATTTAAAAAAATTCAATTCGGATGACCTTAACTTTAAACGGGAAGAGAATTGACTCTATAAATGTTCAATTTATAATTCGATTGATCATATTAATATCAGATTTAAGTTAAAAAATAAAATGATAAGTTAACTTTTTATTAAAAAATAAAACAGTATTATTTTAAAATAACCCGGATACATCTAAATTACCCTGTTTACCCCGACCTTTTGGGGGGCCGGGTTTATGGCTTTGCATAAAGCAAGCTATCGTGGATTCAAGACGGGAAGCACACCTCCCATATCACTGTATAATGACAAATATACCCTTATTCTGTCACTGAAATGACCCACTAAATCCTTGGAGGACCTTCCTGTGAATCAAACATTTCTTGCATGTTTGAATTGTCTCTGTGATTCAATATCTCTCTCTACCGCACCTCAGATACTTATAGTGTCAGAAAAGGAGAGAAATCCCATCTCTCCAAGGTAAGTTGTTTTTCCTTCTTTATTTTTTTTTCTGTATATAAGCACATATCTGTTTTGTTTTTATCAATATGTGAACTACTGTTTGGTCACTGAGAAAATACAATGACTTGAAATGGAAAGTTGAAATTTTGAATCATGGGTTTTTGTTTAACTGGTTGATATTTGAAACCCAGTTTTTAGTTTTTCAAATTGAGTTGGTTTTTTTTTTTTTTTTTTAATGGAATCTTATGTTGAGTATTTGACTGGTAAAGGAATAGTTATTTAGAGAATAATCAGTGCTCGAGGTAGGTAATTGAATGTGTATCTATGCTTGACAACCGAGAAAATGTGGGAAAAGATAATGAGGGGTTTTCCATTGAGCTAAATACAATAACTTTTCTCTGTTGTTTTTTTGGTATTTTAGTTAATTCAGAAATTTGCAAAATTAAGATTGATTTGTTGTTTTCTGGGAAATTCATGAAGGGTTTGTTTTTTCTGTTGCATTAATTGGACTGATGGAGATTTCAGCTGCTGGAGAACGTTATGAGAGTGAATTTTAGTTCAAGAATTGGTTAAACGACAAGTCTTTATCGAGGGATTCTACCCGTACCCTTGTTGTGAAGCATTGTCAAAGCTTTTGTTGAGTTGTAACTGTGCAGAAACTAGAAAGATGTTTGGGAAGTCAGTGGTCCAAGTGTCAACATGCCCTCCTATGCTATCTTCGTCATCATTGATTAATGTATCTCCTGGTTCTTCAAATTTCCTGCCTTGTCTTCCAGCAAGACCGCAAAAGAAACTCTTGGGGGTGCGGGCTATGTCAGCAGATACAGGACATAGCCAACCACCACCCTCTTCTTCGGAGAAGATGAATCCACTTGCTGTTGTTTTGGAGGTACCTGTTAATATTTGGAGGCAAACGTTAAAGCCATTAGGTGATTTTGGGTTTGGTCGGAGGAGCATATGGGAAGGTGGTGTTGGGTTGTTTCTTGTGTCTGGTGCAGTGCTTGTTGCACTCAGTTTGGCTTGGTTGCGGGGCTTTCAGCTGCGATCTAAATTCAGGAAGTACCTGGCTGTCATTGAGTTTGCTCAGGCTAGTGGTATTTGCACAGGAACACATGTTAGGATTAGAGGGGTCACTGTTGGTGAAGTTGTCCGTGTTAATCCTTCCTTGAAGAGTATTGAAGCAGTTGTGGAGGTTAGATTATAGAAATTTTTTTTTTTTACCCCGGCATTTAAATACTAAGTTTTGTGGTTTTATTAGTAAGTCAAATGCGCCCCCATGTATTTTTCAGGTTGAGGATGATAAAATTTTCATACCTAGAAATTCACTAATTGAGGTGAACCAATCTGGTCTTCTCATGGAAACAATGATTGATATTACTCCCCGTGATCCAATTCCAAAACCTTCTGTCGGACCTCTTGATGCTGAATGTGTTAAAGAAGGTCTAATTGTATGTGATAGGCAAAGGATAAAGGGAATTCAAGGGGTGAGTCTGGATGCCTTGGTTGGGATATTCACCCGTATTGGACGTGAAGTAGAGGAAATTGGTGTTGCCAATAGCTATGCCCTGGCTGAGCGTGTTGCTGCTGTTATTGAAGAGGCAAAGCGACTGCTTACAAAGGTGTGATGTGACCTCCTTATGCTTTGTTCTAATTTTGATTGATAATAGATAACCTCGAATACACTTTTTAACTAAATAGCTGTCTCACATTTGCAATCATCAACATGGTTCTTGTGAAAATGAAGGCTTTCTTGCTGCACTAGTTAAATGTCACCTGCAGCCTTATGAAATTTCTTCTGACCCTATTTATCTTGATAAAATATGCTGCATGAGGGCCAATCAGTTCAAAGAATTTGCTGGGAAATCCTTTGGGACCAAATGAAGTGCAGAATTCGTGATCATAGAACAAGTGTTAAAATTTTAATAAAATGAAAGAGAGATTTAACTTGAGCATTGCTTTTGTAAATTTTTTAAAAAAACTATATATTTAGTTTAGGTGTTCAGGAACTGTCTAGACTCTAGCTTGTTTATTTGATTGATCAAGTAGATAGAATTCTATAAATGGCAATGCTTTTCAGGGTTAAGATTATTGGCCTTCAATTTGTAATTACCATGAGTGAACTACATTACAGGATGTGAGAGCACAACATTCCATTGTACTAGAAAACTTAAAAAGTGAATAATGTATTCTCATTCCTGTTTCACTAAAACTTCAGCATTATTGTCATATATGCATTATGATCCTTTACAGGTAGGCAATTTGGACAATGGTCGGTAAATTTAGTGCGCAACGTTTTCAAGACTTTGAATCTGTCTGCTTGTATTCTGTGCATGTACTTGTCCACATTGTGATTGAAATTGTTCCAATTATGTTGTCAACATTTAGCTTGTACTAATGCATACTTTGATTTGATGAAGTGATTTCTCAGATAAAAGCCATGACCGAAGATGTTCAACCTTTGCTGTCTGAGTTTCGTGATAGTGGCCTACTAAAGGAAGTTGAGAACTTAACCAGAAGCCTAACACTAGCTTCTGAAGATTTAAGGTGAAATCTCCCGAATACTTTCTGTTATGTCGCCTCCCTCCCTCTCTCCTTCAGTGGCCCCAAAAACCGCCAAAAATTTAACACACATAACCTTTTTTACCTTGGGAAACAATGTAGAATGTTCATTGATGTCTCACATTTTTTTTACCTTGGGAAACAATTTAGAGTGTTCATTGATGTCTCACATTTTTTTATTATAACGTTCACATTTGATTGTGACCTAAATGAGAAATCCAAATATGACCAAAAAGAAACAAAGTGGTGGTTTTTCATGGAAAACTAGGTTTACTGCATCTCTCTCTCTTACTAGCTCACAATTGTAAACCTTCCCTTTTCTTCAGAAGGGCACATACATCCATTATGACACCGGAGAACAGTGAGTTGATTCAGAAGTCCATTTACAGTCTGATTTTCACTTTGAAAAACATTGAGGTGAGATCTTAATCTGAAACTTGTTACTTTTTTTCTGATAATGCAGAAATCATGAGTGATTTTGTTTGTTTGTTTTTTCTCTGTTCTGTTTATTCTTCAACAATATCAGAATATAAGCTCTGATATTCTGGGATTCACGGGTGATGAGGCTACAAGACGGAACTTGAAAGCACTTATAAAGTCCCTCAGCAGGTTATTATGAGAGCAAATGAACTGTGAGCATGGCATGGTAATCTTCAACAATTGATTATTAGATGGCATGAAATGTTTTCATGATTATGTTAGCATTGATGTAGAAGGGCTCATGCCAGAGTGTTTGTTGAATGTTTTCCCTTGGCCTAGCTAGAAGAGACAGGTAATGCTTCTTTGACGAAAGCATTTTTGTTATAGGAAACCGTTGATTGGCATTCTGAGTATCTTTTCCCAACCAAGAAATTAAGTCCATTTCGCAGAAGTAGATTACATCATCAAGAATTTATCACATAGTAAAGAATTTTTCAAAGAATCACAGAAACTTCCATACGTATTTTGTAGTAAACGTGCACAAAGATGAAGACTGACTATTTTGAAGCACTTACTGTCTTGTGATTGCATTTTACATACCTAGCTTTGTGCTTCCTTTTGTCTCAATGGAAGTCATTTCCCATGGATTTATGCTAGTGTGACCTTGAATCGGGGGGCTTCATCTTGCATTTTTAGTAGGAAAAACCATCATGTTTCAAGCAGAAAGTAACGTTTTCATATCGTGCATTTGGTGTTAGATGAATGGATTTCAACCAACTTCTTTTATGATGCATTTGAGGGCTCCACGACTTGGTTTTCGTTTTCCCCAACGAGCACATGGCCATAATTTTTTCTCTTACGAGAACCCAAATATCTCAAGTGTTTTTAACAAGCCCTAGAATAGGGGTCAAAAAGGAAGGGGCTGGCTTACTGTTCGTTAGGCTTTAGGTCTTCCAAACTGAGTCCCAAAAAAAATCTGATATTTTTTTAAATTAATGTTTTTTATGTTTTTAGGTTGTTTTAATGTGCTAATATTAAAAATAATTAAAAAATATTATCTGAATATATTTTCAAGTAAAAAGTATTTTAAAAATAACTGTTATTGAGGTATTATTTTTTTCTGTTTTTCAAGCTGCAATAAAAAGAATATGAAAAAAAAAAAAAGGTCTCTTGCCTTTTCTTCTTTTTAACGAGGTAATGGACTAGAGGGGAGAGCTAGCTCTTCCTAGCTATTCTTCTTGTTTAGGAATAGAGTAATACTCCAATTTCTTTTCTTTTTTTAAAAAAAAATGGGGTTGGAAAACGGAAAACTAGTTTTTCAATTTTCCAAATTTGTATTGAGTTTGAAAAACATATTTTACAAATTATTCATAATTTTTCAATATAAATCTTACACTGTTTTTCAAATGAAAAAAAATAAATTAAAGATATTTTTTGTTCATTTATCTATAAGCATTTTTTTAGCCATGTAAAATATTTAAATTATTACTTCTCTATATCTTTGTTTTATTTAGTGGCATAAATTTAATTTTTATTATAAATCTAATGTTATTTATATGATAATATTTTATTTGAATGAAATAAAATAAATATTCTATAATTAGATTATTACAAATACAAAAATATCAAGATGATTATTATAAATTATTTTTAACAAATGAATACGCTTTTTTAATTTTCTATTAAAAAAAAAAAGGAAAGGAAAATTGTTTTCCACTAAGCCCATGTTTGGTTTCAGTTGAAAGAACTCGAATGAGTAGTTTTATGAAGATGTCTGATGGGTTTTATCTTCTCTCTGCTCCAACTTACTGAAGCTTTTGAATCCCTCATTTTTTATTTTTTATTTTTTATTTTATTTTTTACAAGACGGTTCATCTTTCCAAGAGTTTTGACTTCCTTTTTGGCACTCCAAGAAGACGCAAAAATAAGTGTGAAACAAATTGGTCATGTGAACTGGAGTTGCCTAAAAATTAAAGCAGTCGATATTTTATGGGTTTACCATATTATTCATTCTATTAATTTTTTTATTTTAAATTAATTTTTTTTATTTTCAAATGTTTTGATATGTTAGCATAAAAAATAAATTTAAAAAAAATAAAAAATAATACTTCAATGCATTTTCAAATAAAAAAATAAAAAATAACCCAGTAAAGCATCAAAATGGTTTTGCGAAATTTTCCATAGTGCATGCACCGCTCGGAATGAATTCAGATTTTCAACATGGGAGGCATTGTTTTTCTTTGTTCTCTTTTTGTGAGCAACTAGGCATGAAATTTGGAGTTGACTTAGCATAAAACCCAGAGTCCATAGTAGGGTTGTGTCGACCTGTGGGCTAGGCCTGGTGTGAGATTAATCATTTTGTTGAAGAGGTGAAAAGGAAATTCATGACAGCATCCTCGAGATCTATGTTTCCGATTTTCTGTCTCTTTTTTTTATAGCGAAGTTCGTGATACAGGGATGTAGAAATTATATTTTAAAGTGTTTTTTTATTTATAAATATATTTTTTTTAAAAATAATTTATAGTGTATCACAAAACAATCCAATATCATGTAAAAAAAATTAATTCAATTTTTTTTATAAATATGGTTGAAGTGCACTCCCATACACGCCCATAATTAACGTGGGAAGCATCGTTTTGTTGAAGAGGTAAGTAGGAAATTTATGACAGCATCCTCGAGATCCAAGTTTCAGATTTCAACAACTTGAAGTATTGAATATTTTCAGCAAAACCTTATCTACTTCTATGTACAAGAATGGGAACTATTAACAACCTGCTTTGTCATTTATTTTTGCTGTAAATCCTTTCTTTCACTGCTCAAGCTTATGTTCCCTCCTCTTCAAGATTCAAGTTCATCAATGAAGGACCTTCAGTGACTTCAATATTGCTGAATATGGAGATCGACATCGTGCCCTGGCAATTTCCAATAACCCATTTTACCTCTTCTTTTACACCACCACCCTTAATGCTTTCACTCTTGCCCTGAGCATCGGAGGGCCTGATTCAATGATGCGTTGGGTTTCGGAAGCAAACCGAAGCAACCCAGTTCGTGAGAACGCTACCCTCACATTCAGCAAAGATGGAAACCTTGTCTTGGCCGATGCTGATGGCCGTCTTCCCTGGCAAACAACACAGCCAGCAAAGGTGTAGTTGGCTTGAAATTGCTTTCCAACGTTAATATGGTCCTTCATGACAGAATTTGATTATGCTACAGATACACTCTTAGTAGACCCTGCTCGTGAGTAGGAACATAAACGGCGTCTATAGTTTGGCGATGGAGTCTAAGAGATGAGCAATGTATTACAGAAGTGCAAATTTCCCTGAGCCATTAATTTATTTCTCATTTGATCTTGGTCATCTAGAGAAGGGTCCTCTTGAGGCTCTCGAATTCAGATGTCGTGCAGACCTCCATGCTGGTGGTGTTTCTAGTCTATATCTCGGTTATAGTGCAGCCAATTCCTCCACTGGGGAGGAAATGGAACTTGCTAGGCCTAATTACAACGCCACATTTCAGCTATTACAGAGTAGAGTGTCGATCATTTCATGTTCAAGAATTCAAATGAGAAGGGCTGGTGAGAGAGGGTGGCTTATGATCATAAAACTTTGTCTGAAGTTGCAAATTCAACTCATCTAGGGTACGTTAAGGTTCCTACCTAATCCATTCAACTCTATGTCTACTTGCTTTAAGTTCATTTCGATATGCCTGGAACACGAATGAGAGGGATAATTCTTCTATTTTCCTCTTGCAGAGATTTTGTTTTTTCTTGCCTATCCCCTCTTCTTCTCCGTGGTAATTTCATTAATGAAAAAATAAGTTTACAATCCTTTGCTAATTTCAGATTATAGTTATCAAATCCAGTTTAACTTAAAGATTAATTTAAAAAATAACTTAAATTAGATTTTAAAAAAATCAATCTAATTAATTCTGATCCAGTAAGTTAACTTGTTATCTATTCTATTCTATCAAAATTCAATTTAATTTTTTTAAAAAATTATTAAAACAATGTTATTTTAAATTTTTTTATAAAAAAATATTATTTTGACTTATTCAAATTAATTTACCATTCAAGCTATAAATTATTTTAATTTAATAACTTCGGTTATAGATTGAATCTGAACCCTTACATTTACAATCCATAAAGAAATGTGCTAAGCACTAGTTTCTAAAGGAAGACTTTAAGCATATTATATAAACATATCCTATGTTTTAAAAAGAGTTACAAACATCATTAATGCCAAGTTTTATTTATTTCACAAGTAGAAGTCAGTGAGGTTAATTATTCACATGCTTCCCTTAAATATGATTTGCATTATAACCTACCATGCAACCTGCCTATGTCAATGTCTATTTATTTTATCATATGGTCCTTTCCATCCTTGCTTGCATTTATAGTCCTCTGAGTTCTAGCTTCCTTTCACATTTTCTCCTTGCTGTGTTTTCTTAATTATAAATTTGCTGTAAAAAATCAAATTAACTACAATTCAAAAATTAATATTTTCATGAGAAATACATTTGCACCTATCAGTCTATTCTTATAAAGTCCCCACCTCTAGCTCTGTCTTGTTTTAAGTTTTGATTGGTAATGTTTTAACCTGTTTGTTGAATTTTAATTTGTTTTTTCACCTCAAAAGTATTAAATGAATGGTTTTTTAGATAATTTTTTTATAGTTTTGAGGTGATAATGTTTTTATTATTATTTTTATATATTTTTTACTAAAAAGTATTTTTATAAAAACATCATATACTATACTACCAAACACACATAGAAAATTGAATGGAATATTATCTTAAATCTTTGGGAAGATGCATGTCAACTTTTTTTTAATTATTATTATTAGGTTGATCATAAGAAATATTTATAAAAATAATGTAAAGGTCCATTCTTGCCTACCCTTGGAACTACTGTTGATCATAAGAAGCTGGTGGAGCGATGGTGATGTTTCTGCAAAATGAATACAAAATTAGTCAAGCGTGGTCTATTTGCCATTCCAAAAATAATTGCTAGGCACTTCTCCATACGTTATCATCATTATTATCCTGCAAAAAGGCTTAAATTATTCCAAGTTTTTATATTATGGAGATTAATAAATTCTTTTACAGTTTTTCTTGAATTAAAATCCAAAATTATAATACAAGAAACAACTCAATTTCTCACACAAACCAATTCGTGAATCCAATTGAAGGAATCATCCAAGCAAAACTATGAAGTTTCCTCTGCTTCTTCAGTCCCCTTCTCTCATCAAGAGTTCAAGTCTAAGTATAATTATTAAAACCAACCCAATACAAGGTCTAAATCATAAATTATAAGGATTAATTTTGATTAATTTTTTAGATTATATCCAAATTAAATATAATTGACCAGGTTTTAAATCAACTCTCCCGATTTAATAACATAAATTCAAGTTATTTGAGCAAAATAAAATCTTTTCACTTGAAAGTGTTTTGGCTGTG